AGAAGACAAATCATCTTTTGCTAGTTTTGACAGAAATCTACAATATTGGTATCCTATCTAGTAATAGATGAGTCAATAGTCAAACCTCATCCCACCTGGACCCCTACCATAATTCTTCAGTTTTTGGAGTAAATACTCTCATTTTACACACATAAAGTATAATAGCTACTAATATAATTAAAATTTCATAGGATAGGTGATTCAGGTAAGTTAATATGTAGGAAAATATTTGTGCATTTTATACTTTGTATATCCTTTATAATTCTCATTTGTGTTAATTGGATTTAGATGATTCACAAATGCTTAATCCAAAAGTTAACCATTTTTATGTTTTTATTCTGTCAATTAAGTTCCATTCACTCTATCTAGTAAAAAACAAAGACGAGTGAACACTAGTCTACTAGTCATTTTTTTCAAAGTTTTTCTTACCTGTTAAAAAACATTGACCAATCAATTCGTTTATTTTTAGACTATTTCCTCAGCTCCAGAAACAAAAGTATTATATCGTGTAAGCCCTGCTTAGTAAGAGGTAACAATAACCCTTGCATGGTTTATATATATTTCTTCTAAAAGGTCCATATTTCTCCAAAAATAAATATAATAGCAATTTCTCAATAAATAAAATGCCTCCAACATTGAGTTGGTTGTTTGAGTATTTTATAACTGAATTACTTGCAAAGTCCTTCTTATATCCAATTTTGGCCTACGATCTCTGATGTCGACAAGTGCTCTGTAGGCCAAAATTCCCAGTGAAACGAAAATGGCAATATTATAAGTTTTAAATCATTTACCTCAATCATTCTCTTTCAATTGGATCTTTTAAAAATAATCTCAGACTTGTAAATACCTGAGGGTCTTTGTGTTGGACGTTGTTGGGACAGCTTGATATGCTCTGCCTACCTGTTGGGTGTTCGGAGCTGGTGGTCTCAGTTACAGAAGCTCTGCCTGTGCTGTCTTGTCCCTTGGTAGCTCCACCTGACCAACATTCAAAAAAGCTGGGATTAGATCACCTTCTACAGTTTCTGGGAAATGAAGACAATTGCTAAATATTCTTTTCTGCTCCCACCCAGTACCCACCCCCTTTCCAAATAGTCCAATGGCTTTGCTTGTGATCAATACAAATGATTGGAATGGATAGACTGCTGAGGTTATCGGACCCTTTACTGAATCCCAATGCAAACTCACTGCCTGGCAGGGTGGTGGTTCCTCCTGTTGCTACACTTGATTTGCCTGAGATTTCAGTGGTCCCTGCTAAAAGAAGAGAGAGCAGGTAAAGTAATATAATCACGCTCAACTAAAATAAGCTGTCGGACTCATGATGCTCCCATGACCAGTTTTGCCACCTAAGTCCCATTTCCTTTCGTTTTAACTGGAATACTGCAGTTTTGCTTAACTTCGCCCAACCACCAGGCCAGCATTCTTCATCCAAAGTCCTGACTGTATTCTCTGCTCCACAATGGTGTATGGTAATAATTCCTAGTCATCAACAATTAGCCTCAATCCCAAATGTGTCTAAGAGTCACGAGCTAAGCCTATCAAAATGCAACCCCTACCCCCCATTTCCTAGTAGAAACCTCAAGGCTGTTTGAAACACTGAAAGGCTGGGGTGTGGGCTGCAAATAGGCTTGTGTACAGTTTCAATCTCTGGGACAACTGTGGGGATGGGGATAAAAAAGAATAACTTGTCATGACAAGAAACTTCACAGAACACTGAGAGAATTCAGCGCCTCCCATTCCCTTTCTGCTATCTCCTGGTTTCTGTAAGCACATTTGCACACATGAGGCTATCATGCCGGTGCATGAATAACATGTGCGCACATGCACACCCACCCCTCTTTTTAAAATGAGGCTGTAGATTACATGGGAGCTCTGCTTCTGCTTTCTCCCTGATGAGATTCGGAAACAGATCTTTACATCAGCGCCCCCCCCCCTCGCCACCTTGGCATGGTGAAAGTCTGCAGCAGATTTCACCCCCACCCGGGCCCCATCCTCTTTTACTGAAGACAGCTTTTTTTTTTTTCTGATCTGCTTCTGTTTAAAAACAAAAACAAAAACAAACAAACACCACCAGCATGAGCAGCGTTTGTATATGTCATCTCTCCCCAGCTGCATCCTAGAGTAGGAACGCAGGGCTTCTGGGCCAAAGGGTAAATGATTGTAGTTCTGTCCCCTTTGTCTGGCTGGCCTCCATGGGGTGTCTCATGGTGAGTGCCCACCTGCCAGACACAAAGCACCAACTGTTTCTTCCCCGACCTGTCAAGAGCACTGTTGTCAAACTTTTGGATTTCTGCCAATTCCAAAAAGTGAAAAAAAGACAGTTCAGTCTGGTTTGAACTTAGGTTTTTGGAGGTGTGTGAATCTGATCATCTGTTTCAAACCCTACGCTTCCAAATCTTACCTATTCCAGCTCATGGCAGATTGTAGAAGTGTTGAATGGTTGTGTGATGTGCCTGACATTGTCACCTCCCTGCCTTCAACCAGGGAGTGCGCCTGGTGATTCTGTACTAAGATGTTGAGTAGATGGCTGAGGCATCTACATAATGTTAAGGAAGGAATCATTCATTCCTCCTGTTTTGGTATTTTTTTCTCTGTGAGACAATGGTAATCCAATGCCTTTTGAGCCTCTCTGGGGAAAACTGCTGTCTCTGTTGGTCTCAGGCCAATTACTGTTATGAATTTTATCACTGAGCTCCCTAATATTGAGAACACTTTCACTTAATTAATAGAAATTATCAAGCATCTTCTTCCTGAAGGCTCATTTTTCACCCTTAGCAGAGTTACCTTTCTTTTATTTCATTCCTGAACTCTTAATGACTCATTTGGCCACTTACCGCCCATTACCTAGCAACATTTATCCAATTTTCATCTTTTTTATTTTGTCTGTAATCTATCAACGTGTTTTTCTTTTATTTTTGATATTTTATCATTTCCTTTTTCCTTTTCCTCCATTCAAACATTCCCATGTGTCCCTCCCTGTTCTTTCAAATTTCTTACTTCTTTTTTCATTAATTGTTGTTATGTGTATGAGACACTGAAAAAATTAAATTCAATTAATAGTACTTCAGTGTTTGGGTGGGAGGCCTCTTTTCACTCAGTCCCATCCCCTCCCCCAAATCCCTTTTCCATATTTTTAGTCTTTTTTATTTCTTGTTGGACCACTTGTTATTTATCCTTCATATCTGAAATAATTTTTGTTTCTCTCGACCTGCCTCCTTACTTTTCATCAATTGCTTTTTGATATTTCTGCTATTCATATATTTTTACTGTAAGTTTCCAAATTTACATTTTACATCTCTTTATATCTTTACTTATTTTTAATTTAAAATCACTGCTAATGTTGCATTTTTTTATTGTTTGATGATTTTTTTTAAAACTTGCTTGCTAGTGCTTAAATTTTTAATTTACAGAAAGGAATAACAAAATCTTTGTGCAGACATTGGAGTTCACTTTTCCCCTTTTTGGGACTGGGTTTTTGTGGTGGCATAGTAATAGGAGATCTATGCTGCAGCAGATGGGCTTCTGCTCTGCCCCATGTTTCCCAGACCAAGAGCTCCCTCTTATGTTCTTACAGAAAAGGGATTTTTTTTAAAAAGTGGGCCTTCTCCTTCATCTGACTTGTGACTGTTAACTACTATCTTCCAAGAATACAACCTTGTTTTCCCATGCTTCTTTATTTCTTTTGATACCCAGGATGCACAAGGATTCTTCCACATTCCAAACTACCTCCCTCTTCTCTAGCTAAGGCCAGTATTCTCGATAGATGCTCAGTTACCTTTCTGTGAGCCCTCCCACCCTCCTTCCTCCCACTCCATGAATGCTCCCACCTGATGATCTCTGATAGTCTCCTAGTATTTTTCTTCTGAGAAGGGACTGTTTCCTCCTGGCTCTGAACTCTTCTTGATGCTCTGCCAGGGATGGGATCTCCTGATCTGTCCCTCTTTTGATGTCCTTGCTGGCATCTCACCTCTATTGTGAGGAGTCTTTGTACTGTTTCCTCGGGGCATCCTTCCCAGTCTCTGGAATCTACTCTGTCCTTTCTAAGTTCTCCAGGTATGGACTATGCATCCCTCTCTGTGACTAATAGAAATACCTGCATATTCTAGTTTCTGTATCCATCAATATCCCATCTTTATGAAATAAAACCCCATTAGTGCCTTGAGCTTTTATGCTGCTCTTCTGTGAGCACAAGTACACATTCAGACTTAAGCCGATGGTGTCACTAAATTACTTCATACTTTTGGGAAGAGTATTTCTGGCATAAGGAACTATTTAGCCAGCTAATTAAACATTGAAAGAGAAACACAGTATTTAAGAGCTGCGATAAGAAAAGTTTTCCACAGAGTCATTTATGAACACTTCATCCACATGCATTCTTTCCAAAGGTGAAATTAGCATGACCTTTTTTTTTTAAACAAATGATCCTGTTAAGATCTCTTCTCACTTGAGGGCTGTTATGGATTATACTGCGAACATGAATGCAATGGATTGTACCTGCTTGGCTGCAGGTTCTTTAGCAGACTGGTATGCATCTTACCCTGCTTTAATATTCAACAGGCTAGTTTTTATTGTTTTCCACTTTCCACCATTATATATATATATATATATATATATATATATATATATATATATATATATATATAACTTTAAAGTCTCTGAAATTAACATAGCCCTAAAACTACATGGCACTTTCCTGGGTGCTGAGATGTTACTTAAGATATATAGACTAGCCTTGTAATACACTGGTAATATGATCTTTTCAAAAATATGATAAATCTATTACTTTTAACTTCAACTAATAAAACCCCTTATCTAAAAGTGACCTCTGGGCCGATACCCAAAGGACGGTATATCCTACTACAGAGGCATATGTACATCTGTGTAATATTGCTCTTTTTTACAATAGCAAGGAAAAAGAATCAGTCTAGATGTCTATCAACAGACGAGCTGATAATAAAAATATGATACATTTGAAAAACAGGATTATGAAATATGCCAGAATATGGACAAAATGAAAGCATATAAAGTGAGGTAACCTAGACTCAGAAGGATAAACATGTGACTCTCATGTGTGGCTCTTAGCCTCCAGCTGTTAAATAAATGTATCCAGATGGGAGCAAATGTGAGTAAAGGCCCAAAATCAAGAAAATGGTAAACAAGACTAGGAAAAGCTGTCTTTAAGGAAAGGGATGGGGAAGACAATGGAATAAAATAGAAAAGGTGTGAATGGAGAAAAAGAGGCCGAGAAAGGAAGGGGTAGCAGAACAGGGAGAGAACCAACCCCTTCTCTGACCTGATGGTGTGACAGAGCTGGAGGCCACAGTGCCTGATGTTCCAGGGGAGCTTCCTTTGCCTGCTACTGTGGAGGTTCCCACAGATCCCTCGGTTGAACCTGGCAAAGAAGAACACTGGATTCTAATGCACTGCTTCGTTGAAGAGGATTCTGGGAAACGCAATCACACTTTCAACGATCTGCTCTTCTACCGTGTTCACAACAGCCTTCATGTTTTCCTGGTAGGGCATATCTTAGACACTTGAGTGCATGTTTGAAATTACCTGATGTTCCTAGGGTGGTAGCTGCAGTGCTTTGTTCCCTGGGTGTGCTGGCTGCTCCTCTTGTAATCATTGGCATAGTGGGTCCTCCTTCACCTACTAATGAGAAAACAGCAACTGAGAATGCCCTAGACAAAAATCAAATTTCCATACTGTTTAGATCTACTCCAACTGCACTTATTGTTCCTTGCATGTGTTTGGATGTGATTCAGGGGCATACTCCAGGTCACTGAACTGGTTAAGATCACACTCACAAGTCAAGCTCTGGCATCTAGATCCAGCTGAACCCATTACATACATGAGACAATAGCTAATATAACAATCTCAAGCTGTGATAGATTTATGTTTTAAAATTGTGGTCAATGTAAGTAGAAAAGCAAAATATTTAAAGAGAATTAATAAAAGCCTAAGCCTTTTTCAACAGAGAAATACCACCCCACTGTGTCATTTGAATGTGTTCCCATGAGTATGACCTCAGTTTCAGGCCTTAGTACATCACTCCTGTAAGAAGCAGTGTGGAATTGCTGTCAGCAAAGAAGCAAAACTCGCGTCTGCTCCTCATCACCAGTGACAGTGTATGATACACAAAGGGCCCAAGGGACTGGGTTTTCCATAAGGTCCTAGTATCCTGATTCAGACTTCAGGAAATGTGGGTTTATGAATATCATTTTGAAATTACAATCAGTTGCTGGGCGGTGGTGGCACTGCACTCAGGAGGCTGAGGCAGGCAGATCTCCATGAGTTCTAGGGTAGTCTGGTCTACGGAGGGAGTCCAGGACAGCCAGGGCTACACAGAGAAACCCTGTCTTGTAAAAAACAAGTTAAAGGGTACTAAATTATTTATTCATTTGAACTGTGTTCCTATGTGTAATAGTTCGAGTGAGAATGGGCCCCATAGCCTCAAAATTTATATGCTTGTTGCCCTTTTCATAGAACCACTTTGAAAGGATTAGGAGGTATGGCCTTGTTGGAGGATTTGTGGCCTTGATAGGAGATGTGGCTTTGTTGGAGGATGTGTGTCACTGGGGTTGGGCTTTTAGGTTTGCAAAGCCCAAGTCAGGCCCAGTCTACTCTTTCTCAACTTTCTGCCCACAGAGCAGGACAGAAGCTCTCACTTACTGCTCCAGAGCTATGACTTCATGACTGCTGCTGTGGTCCCTGCCATGGTGGTCATAGACTAACACTCGGAAACTGTAAGCAAGGCTCCAACTAGATGTTTCATTTTAGAAGTTGCCTTGGCCATGGTACTTCATCACAGTAATAGTGAATCCTAATTAAGACACTCTGTAAGTTCTGTTTTCAACAAATCATCTCATTAATGAATATTGTCCTGCAAATTCTCCAAGTCATAACTTTTAGTTAAAGACTCTCAATAGACTACATTCACAAGGATAAACACATTTTCTTTATCTTTTGTTGGTTTCAGCTTTTACCTACAGATCAAAGAATGGGGAAGTTCTAATGCACTTTTGCATCTTGTAAATTTAATAATATCTCAATGATCACAGAAATGTCATCACCTAGCCACTAATGTTTACTAACTTAAAAGGTACATGTGTGAGGTTAACAGGGAAACCCTGAAGTGTCAAGTAACAATATAATCATTTTAACATATTTTTACACTATTCCTATTGACTGATTATGTGCTCTTACCTCCTCTGAATGGTAGGTCATTGGCATTTCCGTTATCTTTGTCTGTTGTTTTGGTTACACCTGTAGAAACTTGAGTTGTTGCTGGTAAGATACAGGCAAAATAATTAGTTGCCTAAAAATCTGTATCAGCATCATCAACACTGAAGGAATGGGGAACATAAAATTGTAACTGGATATGATAAAGCAACTATGAAAGATTAAAGATACTATGACTCATTTAAATACAAGGAATAATTAAGCCTGGATTGTATTATAGAAAAAAAAAAGTCTGTTAAGAATTCCTTTAAAAACACTTGGGCCAGAATTCTCATTTACAACTGTTTACCATCTGCGAGCCCAGGACTTGTGAAGTTGGGGTTTAGGTTTGTTCTGGTTCCTGCACTTTCAGCTGAGCTGAAAGTTTCAATAGAGCCCAAGAAAACATCAAGGGAATACTTATTTAAAGTTTGGGTGGGCCTGGTTAACAATTAAGTTTTCTTATTATTAATTCTCGAGAGAATATAATAGATGAATGCAGTAAATGTCAGACCTGAGTTCCCTAAACTCATATTCTACTATGGTAGTCTCAAATACATTAGTTGTTTTGTTCCGGCTCAATTAGGAACCTGGGCTTGGTTAACCAGATGTCCATACAGTTGATGCAGCTACTGTGCTTCAAGTAAGTTCACAATTCTGAACACCACCTGCCCACCTGATTCTTCTCCAGGCTGGGCTGAGGCTCCAGTTGTTTCACCAGCTGATGGTGCAGGGGTCCCTTTCAGAGGAAACAGTACATGGTCATTAGGACCGCTGATAAAGTTCATCATTCCATGCTGCTCTCTGATTTCACATCTCTTTCACATATTCTTTTTTTCACTTCCTCATTTCCAGTTCAGCATTTCCAACATTTGATCATAAAATATATACAGTTTTTTAGAATAATTGTGCACGATCTATTATTTATGGGATGCACTTAATTTTGCTGTTTATTTATGTATTTAATGTCCCTAAGACAAACTCACTGCTAATGAAATGAGGATGTACACTGGAATGTATCGACATTTTAAAACACTTTCTAATACAGATACAAGCTCAATGAGTCTGAAGGCCCCTCTATTTATATTCCAAAACAATCACGAGTGATTCTCCTATCAAGTCATATTCCCTTTACAATAGCCAAAGCCTTACAAGTTGTAAAGGGTTTTCAAAACACTGTGGCTAGTTACAGAAATATGATCTAATCCACATCTGTCATTACAGCCTTTCATGCAGTAGCCCCTACAGAGTCAATTTCCTACTACTCCTTTCTATTGTGCACCAGTCACCACATACAGAAAATGGTCTCCATGCACACACTCAAGTCAGACACCTCTCTCTGTCTCATTTACCTGGACTGCTCCTAGCAGAGGTCATCACTGGTCTAGTTGATGTTTCAGGACTGACAGTGGTGGGGCCTCCAGAAATGTTTGTGGTTCCTAGAAGGAAGAACAAATTGGAAGTTAAGGACCTGATTTTTTTGTTTGATTGTTTGTTTTTTCTTGTGTGTGTGTGTGTGGGGGGGGTTTCTGGGAATATTTTAGAATTCATGAAATTAAAATGGAAATTTATGATCCCTCTCAGCACTTATCAGCACTGCATTATCATTAAGTTAAATCCCAGGAAGACAGAGGAGCTCTCTATTCAGTAGTGCATGGACAGGAGCTGCTGGACCATCACCCAGGCTGTGGTATCTCACCGGAACCTGTGGCTCCAGAGCTTGCTTCTCCAGGAGTGCTGACACCTGCTGTTCCAGGGCTTGATCCAGATGATGCCCCAGGTGAGCCTTATGTTGATCAAGTGGAAAAATGTTAGACTAAGATTATGTGAAGTTATAAACTCTCATTAAAGGAGTATTAAGACTGTTGTTTTTGTCTTAAAAATGATAAATATTCACCAAATGTAACTGGATTGTAAGACTCTATATCTTGGTAAATCAAACCATTCTTATTATGAATTTATTCTCTTAATGTTTTTCCTTTAAGAAATAGCAATCATTTTACTTTATCAAAGTTCAGCATTGAGTGATCTTGTCTATCCTCATGACTATAATGTCATTGACACACCTCCCACAATTCCTTTCTGTCCTGCTTATTATATTGTGTTTATATCTTCTGTGAACACAATATGTATTCTTTACAAATAGAAGCAAAGTGGGAAGATAAAAACTGCTGTGGAATAATCCTCTTGTATACTATAAAAATTGTCACTTGAATTGGTTTAATAAAATGCTAATTGGTCAGTAGCCAGGCAGGAAATATAGGCAGGGCAACCAAACTAAGGATAATGGGAAGGAGAAGGGCAGAGTCAGAGTTGCCTGCAGCCACAGAGGACCAAAGATGAGAATACAATACTAAGAAAAGTAACCAATCCATGTGGCTAAACATAGATAAGAATTATGAAGCTGGATGGTAGTGGCACACGCCTTTAATCCAAGCACTCGGGAGGCAGAGGCAGGCTGAACTCTGTGAGTTTGAGGCCAGCCTGGGCTACAGAGTGAGTTCCAGGACAGGCTCCAAAGCTACACAGAGAAACTATGTCTCAAAAAACAAACTAACAAAAATTATGGATTAAATTAAGTGTAAGAGCTAGTTAGTAATAAGCCTGAGCTACAACCCAAGCATTTATAATTAATATAAGCCTCAGTGTGGTAATTTGGGAAGCAGCTGCTGTGTATTTGGAAGTTGCTAGTTGGACAGAAACTTCTACTTTCCAAAATTCTTCCCTATGTTTCTACTATAACTTCCAGCATCACATAGGCTACTGAGAACTCAACAAACATCTTTTGATTTTTTTTCTCATTTCTGTAGCACTTGACACAATGGAAAAAAATGTGACAAATATCCATGAAAACTTTTATCTTTGATGGAATCTGGATGCTGAGCTCTCCTTGCCTCTTACCTTCCCCTGCCCCTCATTACCTGTTCTTCCAGATGTGCTTCCGGCAGTGGCTCCAGTAGTAGCTGCACCTGCTCCTCCACTTGTGCCTGTGGGACAAACATTGCTTAGTCATTAAACAGGAAGGAAGGCAATCTAAGGACATTTAATTGTCCCTTCATGCCATTAGTTCATTCTTAATTGTCCTTGGTCATGTTTCCTAATCCTCATGCTCTTACTCATGGTTCTGCCATACTCATACCCATGGTCTTGCTCTGCTCACACTAATGGTCATGTTATGCTCACATATATGGTCCTGCTGCACTCACAATAATAATGGTCATGGTGTGTTCATACTTATGGTCCTACTGTGCTCACACTAATGGTGTTTGTTATATTCACAGTCATGGTCCTGCTCAGCCCTAAAGAAAGTTCTTCAGTTTCTCTGTTACTCTCATTTGGCCCTGAAAACTAGGCAGTAGGAGTTTCAACATGTGCTCATTTGTCTCTGGTGATATAATTAATGGTGGACACAACTGCAAACCCGTGTGCCTTCAGCATGTTTCTTACATCATTCCTGTGATAATTTTCTCTCATAGGCATTGATAGGCAGGTCCTAATGGACTGGTAACTGCAGAGCTGGGTTCCCTGGGTGTGCTGCCTTTCTCACCGCTAGGTGGGGGTGTTGTAGGGCCTGCTGAAGCCCATTAAAAAGAAAGTGGAATTTAAAATTGTGCTCATGTGTCCCTCCTAGGGTCTTTCCCTGTTAGCTAGCCTCTCTGGAGTTGTGGGTTGCAGTCTGGCCATCCTTTCCCCACTTATGAGTGAGTACATACTATGTTTGTCCTTCTGAGTCTGGGTTACCTCACTCAGAGGGACACGTGGATGACCCTGTGAAGAAATGGATGAGATCTGCAGGAGTGGACTGGGTGTGTGTGGGTGGGTGGGGGGGGTGACAGAGGGCAAGAAGTGGGAGATGAGAACATAGAGAAATGGGAGGGTCAAGCTGGAACAGGGACAGAGAGGGAGGGCAGGGAGGAAGATACCATAATAGATGAGGACATCATGGAAATAGGAAGAGGCAGGGTGCTGCTGGGGAGGCTCTCAAGAATCCACAAGGTTGGCCCCACCTTGGTCTGCTGGCAGTGGTCCAGAGGGTGCCTGGACTGGTCTACTCTAGTGACCAGCCTAGCAAATAACCTAGCTGTCATCATAGTGCCTTTGTCCAGTGACTGATGGAGGCAGATACAGAGATCCACAGCCAGGCACCAGGCTGAGCTCCGGGAATCCAATTGATGAGAGAGAGGAGAGATACTGCAGGTGAGGGATGTCGAGATCATGATGAGAGGATGTGCAGAGATGACCGGCTACACTAGTGGAAGTCCATGAACTGTGAACTGGTGGCTGTGGAGCCCTCATGGGACTGGACTAGGCCCTCTGGATACGGAAGATGGTTGTTTGGCTCAAACTGTTTGGGGGGCACCCAGGTAGGGGGATTGATATCTATCCCTGTTCTATGGGCAGGCTTCTAGAACCTAGTGCCTGTGGTGTGACACCTTGCACAGCCTTGGTGCAGTGGGAAGAGGCTTGGACCTGCCTAGGCTCAGTGTGCTGGACTCTGTGGACTCCCCTTGGGAGACCTCAATTTGGAGGATGTGGGGAAGTGGGGTGGCTTGGGAAAGAGGGCTGGGGGTGGGAGAAGGGAGGAGGGGGATCTCTGGATACTATGTGGAGTGAGTAAAAAATTCTTAATAAAGAAAAATGAAAGTAAAAAAATAAAATTGTGCTCAATGTAATAAACCCATTGAACATTCTCATCAACATTCATGGCCAAAATGCTACTATTTTAATTTTTATCAGATGTGGAAAAGATTAAAAAAAAAAAAAACACAGCCCTGGTACACATTGCTCTACAGTTATGTTAAAAATTAACACAAGTAGTCCAGGACTAGATTTTCTCACACAAAGCTCTGCTTCTCAAGCCATGTGCTCTAAAATAATAGATTATAAACATTCCAGTCTGCAGTAGACAGGTGCTTAAAACACAGCCTTTATAATACAAATTAAGACATGAGATTAAGTAATTAATCATTGTAAAATTCAAAAAGTCACAGTCCATGTTTAAGCACAGTTCTGGAATGATATGGCCCCAGATGATCATTTTTTTAATAGCTATTGACATGGTACTTGTTTTCCTGCAATTTTATTAACATAGCTATCTCTGACACTTGACCATTTTGAGCTGAGTCTTTGTGCAGCAAACTTGTTGAGGTGAAGCAGAGCACAATCTGTGCAAGCATCTATGGAAAGGGGCATTTCACACATTTCTTGCTCTTTCCTAAATACAAGCCTCTGTCATTTCTGTCTTCATTTGTACCTGCTCAGATTATACCTGGTAATATTTCATTTCTCTATGATATGATACATAAAAAATAACCTATATTTAAAATTTCCCATGAGAACTTAAACTGGTCAGCTGTTGGATCTTCCAACGGCACTATGCTACACATGAAAGCAACATTTAAGAGCCTAAGGGTACAAGAAATCAATGACATTTTAGGAGAAACCATCTATACCTTATCCTGTTCTGACCATCATTACCTGAAAGAAGGAATAGAGCAGAACCCAGATTCTTTCTCTACTGTTTAGTTTCCCTGATGGGCTTCCAGGACAGATGACATTGGACCTCACTGCTGTGGTTTTGCCTAGACTTCTAGTTAGTGAAGATATGGGACTTGAAGTCTCAGGAGAGCCTGAGAAAGTAATAAAGACTTTTTAAAGTCTATGTGGACTTTGGTTCCTAGAGGTGGCCTGACCCTGCAATCATTTGGTACATGGAAAATTCAATGCATCCAGATGATTTTGGTTTAGTAATATTATGACAATCTTTTTACAATGGAGTTCTTCATGTGACATACATTTGTAGTTGAGTTTCAGTTGTTATGACTTAAAAAAAGGCATTGCTTGAGAGTGACTCTCCCTATGACAGAAGCCATGACACAAAATTCATCCTCTACTCACCTGAGTCAGCCTCAGGAAGTGTCAGTTTATTCTCTGGGACTCCAGTTGTTTCAACAACAGATGGCCCACTGGTTCCTTTCAAAGTAGAAAACAAATCAGGACCATGATCTGTGATGATGTCAAACACATGACCTGCACTCTGATCTTAACATAACTCTCCTTGATTTATATTCATTTCTCCATTTCTTGTTCACGGAAAAATTAACCAGGATAATCCTGTATATTACTTAGGATTTTTTAATGTTCATTTGTTTGTGAATAAAATATTTGTTATTTCCTTTATATCATTTTTAATAGCTCTCCAGACATTTGATCCTTATTGTCTGCAATCTGGGCAGCATTTTGGAAGCAACCTTAAGGATTTGAACAGTGTGCCTATCTGCTCTCTAAGGATTCTGATACCATGAGTCTGTGCAATTCGTGAATATATATCTTTAAAACTTTCTGTGTTTCAACTCATAGCAAAGACTGTAAAATTGGAACTGTCTTCTACTGTTCTTGCAAACTACTCCACACAGGATGCAGAATTTGTTCATCCCCATCAGTATGGGCTGGGTGTCTATGTAGTTCTCTCTGATTGGAGAACACCTAATCCATCCATCCCTCAGAGTTAGGCTATGTGTTGGTCAGCAATTGAGCTTCTTCTCCCCAGTCTCTGAGAATCCTCTCCATTCTTCAGCATGGTAGAGTCACAAGTGAGGATAACAACCAGAAGAATTTGACAGTGAACACTCAGTGAATTCTCCCATTTGTTTACCTGGTTCTGTGCTGGCAGAGGTGGATGGTTTGGCTGGGGCCCCTGAAGAAGCAGTGGTGGTTCTTGCAGAAGCTAAAGAGAAGTAAACAAACAAACAAAAAGAGGTGGTGTTGAACATGTAGTTTGTCCTTACTGTTAACCCTGAGTAATTTGAAGTTTACAGCAAAAGACATATCTACATTATTTTCTGAATCCTCATTCTGTCCCATTTAGAATCTCATTCAATAACTCAGCACTTCCTAACACTTTTCATGTCTACTGGGTTATAAGTTACCAGGGACATCTGTGGACCTACCAGAATCCTGGGTTCCAGTGCTTGCTGTCCCAGGGGTGCTGCTGACAGTAGCTTCAGAGGTTGTTCCAGAGGATGTTGTGGGTATTTCTACCATGGAAAAATGTTAGCTTAACGCACACAGGTAATTCAACTTGTGAAAGTAACTTGAAATGAACTTGCTTTTGCACACCACACAGGCTATAACTGTCTCATCAGCTACATAGAAACAGAATGATTATTACTTATACCTTCACTAGCATGGAGAGCTATTTTTCAAGATAAAAGAAGCATACTAGGTATCCCTGGTATTCTAATAAATTACCAATACATGTGTCAGAAATAAAGTACTTCTACACACATAATTCAAGTTATAAGTATAAATAACTTTGATTTTTCTTTCTAGAAGAGTCTTCATATGGTAAGCATGGTATTATATATCACCTCATTTCTGTACTAATTATTCTTGTTCTAGTACTGCTGTACATATTTTAGGTTTTCTCTTTCCAAGGTGTAGTTGAGCGAGACATGCATACTTATATGTTACTTCCTTTGCTCAATTGAAATCTGACCTGCTTTTAAGATGTAGAAGAAAGATTGGGGGTACACTGCTGATCTCTTATACACTTGAAACTATATGAACAGTGGCCATATTAATGTATGTGAGGAAATCATAAGCACAACTTAAGATCATATGTCTAGTGCTGGATGTGCCTCTGTTGGCTCTCACAGTACCTGTTCCTCCAGATGTGCTCTTTCCAGGAGCTACAGTGGTGGCTTCAACTGTTCCACCTCTTGTCCCTAAGGCAAGAGGAATGGAAGTTAATATGCACAGATAGCTACACTAATTTTACACACATTTACAATTCCATTCATGAGCTTAGATTCTACAGTGGTTTTTGGTACTCTCTCAATCCCATGGACACACCATGTGCATATCTTTTTCCTATATTTCACTTTTTTTCTTCCAATCCCCTCCACAGCCTTAAAGAGGCCTTGTCTGACCTGATGGTGTCACAGTGCTGGAGGATCCAGTGCCTGAGGTTCCAGGTGAGCTTCCTTTGCCTGCTGCTGTGGAGGTTTCCACAGATCCCCCTGTTGAACCTGGCAAGCAAGAGCAGTGCTATGTCACCTGAAGGACCCTTAGGAGATGCAGCCAAACTGTCAGTGATCTGTATTTTTTATCATCTTTACCACCACCTTCAAGTTTTCTTAGAGGTCTACACTTTAGATGCTTAGGTCCATGTTTGCAATTACCTGAGTTTCTTGGGCTTGTGGCTACAGTTCCTTGTTCCCTGGGTGTGCTGCCTTCCCCAGCAGTGGATATTTGACTCGTGGTAACTCCTAGGCCAATTAATTAGGAAATAAGAATTTTAAATATGTTGGACAAACATACATAGTATATTAGCAGAAATCCCCTGTATCATGCAAATTGTTCATGTGAATAGATATAATTCAGTTATTTAAAGAAGGTCAATTTACTAGTATACAACACATCCAACACCAACCTCAAGCATCTAGCTCTAGTTGAACTCAAAGACATATGCCAAGGAAATCTAACATTCCCCTGTTGTCATTGACTGATGACTAAAAATGCATTATATGTAATGAGAGAGGGAAAAATGTTCTGCTACAACACAGAGCTATGGACAAGAGAATGATAACAGGTCTTCATGTGTAGATGTGTCTTTCAATGATAACAAGATCTTTGTATCTCAGCACATCATGAGTTGGCACTTAAGAACCTGTTTGGCGTTAATCATCTGTCCACACGCTTGATGCAGCTATGGTGCTTTTTGTAAGAAACAAGTAATGACTCCACAATTCTGAACACCTCCTGCTCACCTGGTTCTTCTCCAGGCTGGGATGGGGCTCCAGTTGTTTCACTAGCTGATGGTGTAGTGGTCCCTTTCAGAAGAAACCGTACATGGACATTAGGACCTCTGATAAAGTTCATCATGCTATGTTGCTCTCTGATTTCACACCTCTTTCATATATTTCACTTTTTTCTTCCAATTCAGCATTTCCAACATTTGATCATACAATATAATTTTAGGTTAATTGTGTATGATACATTATAGATGGGATGCATTTTAGCTTGCCACTCATGTTTGTTTTTAACCTCTCTGAGCGCAGTGTGTATGAAGTGAGGTTGCACAGTAGAAAGTGTTCACTCATTTAAAACCCTTTTTACACAGTTTTAAGATCAATGAGTCTGAAGGTCCCTCCATTCATGTTGCAAAAAATATCTCTAAAGATTATCCTATCTAAACCCCATTACAAGTCACATTCCAATTTCAGTAACCAAAACCTAAGTAGCTGCAAGGGGTTATCAAAAACTATGGTCATGTGCAAACAGATTAATTACAGAAAACTGATCTATCCCACATCTGTCACTACAGTCTTTAATGCAGTAGTCCTTATAGCAACAATTTCCTACTACTCCATTTTGTGAACCAATCACCACACACAGAAAATGGACTCCGTGTACACACACAAGTCAGACATCTCTCTGTCTCTCTCTGTGTCTCTCT